CCCTTAGCTCCTGCTGGGTTTCCGGACTTGTTTTGCTGGTTTGTGCTGAAATGCATAGGCCATAAGTTTTGCAGCTGTGCCACCCTGTGAATGGTGGGCAATTCTGTTGATATGCTTTTGATACTGTCCTTTTGGTACTGTAAACCATCATAAAGGTCCCTAGATGATCTCATCAGATGTCAGTTTCCTGGGTTATCACAAGTCATCTGCATACTTCCTAAATGGCATGCAAGAAGTAGTGCAGTCACTCTTGGCTCTTTCAGAGTCGGGCCACCCCTTCACTCCTTTTGAATGTGGTGGCATTCCTGGTTTGGAACTAATTAGGACTGCCTCAGCTTATCTCAGTGCTTCTCAACTGGGTGTTGCTGCCTCCAGATAAAATTGCTCAGTGGGCCTACTGCGCACACAGTCCAGGGAGAGCAATGGCACTTGTAAGTGCTCCTCCTACATTAAGACTTATCAGCCTAAAGCAGGTAGGAACTGCCATGGGCTTTATAGCCCTTTCTGTTCTGGCCCCTCTTATGCTCCTTCTAGAAACTGTCCCACATGCCTGTTTCTGAGATAAGGGAGGGGGTGCAGACCAGGAATGATCATGCAACACAAAGCAGGTCCTGTCTGCTGTAGATTAATTAGAGCCCTAGTGCAGCAGGAGTGTGTGCGGGGCAGTTTTAGTTGGCTACTGCTACAGGCATGGTAGCATCGGCAGCATGGCACGCCTGTGGGGGCATTAATAGTGCTCTGGTTAAGAACCATTGGAGTAGAGGTTAGAGATCCCTGTCAGTCTTGTTTGACCTGTTTTAAGGTCAGAAATTAAGATATATAAATGACCATGTATGAGGTGATTTTTACAGAGAAAAAAGATCCTGGTGCAGAGAGAAAAAAAGCTATTATATTTGGTATAGTGAACGGGTCTTTCCATGGAGATATGGAGCTAGATGAGTATGAGCTGCTACTGCTTGAGAGCAGACAAGTACTTTATTGTGATTTGCTTTTTGGCATTTTTATCCCTCCAGATAAACTCCTTTTATGGATAAACTGGAGCCTGGAGCAGGTAAATGTTTCATGATGCCTACACATATGTTAGTGTTACACCTCAACTGCAGGTAGATTTGAGGTGGCTCGAGCAGTAAGTGAGACTTCACACCATTCCAGTCATACAGGATACATTGATTTATTGACAGATAATAAACAAAGTAAAATAAAATAATCAGATACATTACGTATAGGATGAGTAGTTTTGGCAATGTTGCTAGCCAGGCTTAGTCATCAGGCAAGGGGGCGTATGTGCATCTGCACAGTGGTGTTTTTGGTGTTGCGTCCCCCAATTACTTTTCATGCAACCTTCTATTTTATACCTCACAGTTCTTTGTTTGCTGTCATCCAGTCAAAGTCCACCACCTCTTCAGTTGCTCATCCTCGTCTGTGTCTCATCTCCATGTTTTGTGCTTGTCTCCTTTCGGTTCCTATTTTTCTGTCATCTTACCTGTTCTTCTGAATAATCAGCAAGTTATCAAGCTTGTAACAATCATCTGAAAATGATTTTCAGATTACAAAGGGGGCCCGTTGTGGTCAGCTCAATCTTGTTCTATTTCAAATATAGATATTTCCTTCTTTTTGTAGCCAGTCTAGACCTCCACATGGTCCCCATCGTGACCTTAACTTATAACATCATGTTAATCTGTGATCAGTCTGAACTGTGATACAACTTGTTCTATATATGTTTTCCTTTCTCTGCCTTAATGTGGATAGGTCCAGGTGTAGTTTGTCTGTTTAGTACTCAGTGCTACCTATAGTCAGACAGTTAGCTTTGTCTTTGTTTCATATCCTAAGAGGGTTACTGGAAGGTTACTGCTTTTGCAAGAACAGCAGCAAAAAGCAGGCTCCACTTTCCTAGAAGCCTTTTAGGCTTGACACGTCTCTTAGGAGCCTACAGTCACTTTGCAAAATGGGGGGCATGCACTACACTAGGAAAACTTTCTGGGTGTTGTTTGCAAATTGGACCAATGCATATCAACAATGAAAATAAATAACAGGTCTCCTTACTGGGGGTATTATATTTCAAGCAATTCTGTCTGTCTGGATTCAGGGAGATGCATAAAATTCACTTATATATAATGTGATCAGGTAATCAGATATTCTTAAATATTGCAGGAAGTGTACAGCTTTATAGAATTATGTAATGAGGCTGTGCTATGGGAACAGGCATGAAGTTCCTTCAACACCAACTCGACATTTCTTGACTCAGTAATATGTTAGTTTAAAAGCTCACCAAAACAGCACTAGATTTACAAATCTAGTTTGCAGTTTGTCAAAGACAATTCATCAAAAGTTAGATTGTCCAACTTGAGTAAAATAATATACTAGTTAATCTCAGTTATATATGAATTTACTTTCAGGAATGATGCATCTTTCATTTAAAAAAAACAAAAAACTCTAATGGTTTTGATTGTTTTAGGCCTGATACTTGGGGATGACAGGGGTGCTGAACTATTCAAGCAGAAACGCTGGGGATGATAACATCAGAGGGACTGATCTGGAGAGATGGTCTGTGGTGGTGGCTTTTGTATATTAGATCCTTTAGTAAGAGTTTTGATTGACTCCAAAATTATATTCTGTGTAGGTGTCACATTGTCTTTAGCAATGACAAGATCTTTGTGCATGCCACAAAGAAGGCACCTGTCCTTTTTCATGATATCGGTGTAACTGGCAAAATATTTCAAACAACCAAGTGTAAACATGTCTGTACCAAACTGTTAAGATATTTGGTGTCCTAAAGGTGGCAGTGTTTACTGTGTATTTGAAATCTGTTATCTGATCCATAACTGGCGTTTTTCCTCCTTTCCTTTTTGATTGTAAATGACTGCATCAAAATAATATGACTAAGATATATTAAAATTCATTGAGGCAGTTATCCTGATCAAATACTTCATCTTGTTTCTTCCTTGGGCAAAACTCCCATTGTTCAAGTAAAATTTTCAGTATTGATTTGATGTTGAGAGTTACATCATTTCCAGTAAAGAAAATTAGGCCTTGACTCTTCATATGGTTATATATATATACACACCTTATCCATATGAGTAAGCCTGTTGCTATCTAGGGTCTACCCATCTGCAGAAGCTTGCGAAATTGAACCCTTAATTGTGTGATTTAGTAATACTGAACATTACGCGCTTTACAATTGCATTATATTTCCATTAGATGGGATCATAGTTGCTCATTTATTACCACAATGTAATAAGATTATGCATCTACAAATGAGTGCAGCATCCTGCTGAAGACTGACTAAAAGTAATCTGGATTAACCTAGGCAGATTTTTCACCACAGCTACCACTACAAAGACAAAATTCACTTGCATACAGTGCAGTAAGTGTTCCAGGTACCTTTTTTTTGTAGAAGCAAATACTTGGTTGACAGTATTACAGGGTAGAATTTCAAGGACTTGACATTCATCTTACAGTGGTTTATATGATTAGTTTAGGTTAGCCTTTTCCAAACTGGGGTGGGGGGATATCTTTCCGGGGGTTTAGGGGGGTGGAGAGTGGGGCATGAAAGGTACAAGGGAGGGAAATCATGGTGGCACTTGGTCATATCCCCCTATTTCAGCCACTCTTGTGCCCCCTACTTCAGCTGCCACCTACACTTCTCCTGCCACTGCTTCCCCTCTCCACCACTGGCAGGAGGAAGTGGCGGCTGAAATAAAGGGGAATACTTGAGTGCCTAGCTTTATATGGTGGGCTATAAACCCACAGGTACGGGGAACTGTGTTTTAGGTTATAAGTAGATTACTTCCATAAGTAAAGTATTTGTCTTCCTACTAGGTACTTGCATTCATGTGATAGTGGTACGGGTGACTGTTGATGGCTGATCTTGCAATTTAAATAAAAAAATGTAAACAAGAAATCTGTGTTCTTGATTGTCTAGCAAATTCACTTCAGTATTTTCCTGTTACTTTCAAACGCATTAAATTAGTCTTGAGGAACTCTCTGCTCTTCGTTGTCCTGTAACCAGAATTTAGATTTGTCAGAGCAGAGAAGTCTGTAAGAGTGAGAGAAAAGGTGCAGTTTCTTCTAACGGTGCACAGCTTGGGAATGGTTTGTCTTTTCTGTATACTACAGTGCAATCAAGACAAAGCTTAAAGCACTTGCTTGTTTCTTAGTTTTCTTGTTTGGACATTTTTGTTCTATTTCCCCAGGACTTGGAGGAATTTGTATAAGTGCACTGTCTTGGTTTGTTAGAATTCTGGTTTTAGCAATATGTAAGACCCCAGGCACCCAAAGCCTTCCTGCATGGCTGCCATCAGCAAAAAGTTGTTATTTTGGAATTAAGAAAGCCAAGGATGTATGTGTTTGCGAAATCCATTTTGTAAAACAATGTTGTTTAATTGGTGCTTGCCATAAGCTGCTGAGGATAATGAGATGCTATCTATAAGCAACTTGGTAGCAGAGTCTCCAGTAAAGAACTTGCCAATTAAGGTTATGCAGTCATGCCATTCTAAAACGCACCTCTTCTGCTTGTCATATTGTCACTTCTTCCTTTTCTCACCTGCGCTTTTGTCTCATTAATTTAACATTCAGCTCTAACAGGCTGTATTGTTATTCATTTGAAAATTATTGCAGCTTTCTCAGTGTTGTTTGAAAGGGTGAAGATAATTGCATGTTATAGTTCTAAAGAAATGTTTTTCCAGAAAGGTAAGGAACTATATAGTGTGGAAGCTACTGGGAATCAAGACTCCTACGCTCTCTGAAAGGCCTTTAAACTAATTTTCTGTTATGAAGAAATCTACTTATACTTCCCCTGTTTCCTTTCCACACTTTATGAAGTGCCTTCTTCACAGGTATTATTATTATCAGATATTGTGAGGTTTAACAGTTAGAAAATGCTTTGAGTTTCTTCAATTAGAAGAATTGAATTTGCAGTGTTTCTTGGTTTAAAAATGGAAAATATTTTATCTTTTCTTTCTTCTCTCTCCCCCCCACCCTTTCTTTCCTTCCCACTCCAGTTCAGCAAATGCTACTCCTGAATTTGAAGGCCGGGGAGGAGAAGAGCTGGGCACAGAAATAGCAAATACGTTGTACAGAATATTTAGTAATGACAGCAGCATAGATCTAAAATCGCTTTGTATTAACCCCAGAGAACACTGTTGGATTCTCTATGTTGATGTCTTGGTAAGTAAATCAAAAGGAGAGTGAATGAAGTTCAAGACACTGGTCCAGGGAATGTTAGTGTGCATGTTATATAAAAGTCAGTGTTCTCTTAAATAGCACAGAATGTCTGCACCTTGCTATAATGCTGTGTGTGTATGGGGCGGGGGTGTTAACACTATCATTGCTACTAGATACCTGGAACAGAATAAAAAAGAAATTTCAAGAAGATGATTGGCTTTGGTTTGTTTTTAGCTTTTCTATGCGAAGAGTAGCTTTTATTAATTGCATGGGTATAGGGCGAGTGACTAATAGTGGAAACAAAATTTTGTCCGTGTTTTGATGTTACCTTAGTGAGTCGCTAATGGCAATAGCATGTTTAAAGCTCTCTGAGAGAGAGACTTGGGTATGGGTCTGAGAGTGAGGAAACCTGAGCTGCCACTTCTGTATTCGTCAGATGTGTAACTGATAAATATCTCAAGGGGTTTTTCTTAATCTAGATCTGGCAACATTTGTAAAGTCTTTAGACTGTGTAAAGCTCAGCGAATATTAATATTCTTATCAAAACCAAGTGTAATATTTTTTAGAAAATGAGAACACTCAAACTGAGAAGAGGCCTAAGCAAATAAATGAACATAAAATGCAAACCCATTATGTTCTTTTAAAAAGGCATTAGTCTAATTGTAGTGGGCATGGTGCATACTGTGACTTACCTTGCTGTACAGAATGATCAAACATAGTGACATTTCATAGTCGCAGCAGTCTGCTTATCAGAGCCTAAAATAATTTAATAGAAATGGTAATTCTGGTTCTGAGGAATAGCACAAGAAACTTCAATTATTTTGTAATTATGAACAGAGCTGCAGAATATTAAGTACTGCGCATATTTCCATGAAGTCAGTAAATAACTTTTAGAATCTCATTTTAGGTTCAAATATTGCAAGCAAGATGCTTCTTGCTTGACATGCATTATGACATCGTTTAATGTGAGGGCGCACTTTCTCTGTATACCTAATATATGATAGAATAATGCTAGCTATAGGTGTGTTGGGGGCAGGGGGTTGGTTCTTTTCCAAATTTATATTGATTAAGTTTATTTCCTTGTAGCTGTTCTCTTGTTACACAGTCTGTCATTTACACAGTCAGGTTCATGCCTTTTAATTGCTTGGAAATTGTCCTAATGAACCAAAGTTTGTCTTCTAATCTAAATAGTAACACGAGGAATATTCAAAGGTTTAGTAAGGATGAAAGGCTGGTCTTTAAAGACATCTGTACCTCTTCCTACTATCATACTGGAGCCAGGGGCTCAGATAGTATACTTAAGTATTGCATTAGAGATGCACTATAGTGGAAATACACATCACATTCAGGTTAATATTAAAAAGTAGACCTTTTTCTTTTTGCTTCTGTATAATCCTGAACAAATTTAGTAAGAGAACTCTGTGGACTGCATTTTTGCCTTCTCAGTGCATAAAAATAGCTCCTTTTTAGTGTTAAAGTTGCCAAGTAAATTGAGGGGAGAATAGACTTGATTAAAGTTCCATTTAAAGGTTTAAAAATGCAGAATTCTTGCATCAGAGTGAATACAGCACGGCTATTTCCAAAGTAGCTTGTTCTGAAAAGTCTCTCTGATACCAGTGAATTCTTGGTTCATTTCTCCTCACTACTTATTTACTTCTGTGACCTTGTGGACAGTTAGCAGAATTGAGCTCCTGTTTAAAAGTAGAATTTCCTAACTGCAGCCTTAGAAAGAGAAAAGATTGATCTTTGAGATGTTTATGGATAGTTACGTATCTGATAGGAAAAACAGACACCGGATAAAAAAAATTTTGCTAGCGGCCAACAGCATTAGTTTGACACTTGTCTTAACTGCTATACAGTCCCACTGCAAATGTTTAATGGACTGCAGGGAAAGTAGCTCTTACCTATACAGACTTCAAATTCACATGCAACCCTCTCCTGCCCCTGGGCTCTCAGCTATGTGTTGGATGCACATTGGTGTTTTCAGAGGAAATGACTGTTGCTTTTTATTAAAAAAATAAAAAAAATAAAAGGAATTTTAAAAGAGCAGCATAAAGCATGAGCATGGTCTGAATCACAGAGCTGCAATGTTTTGCATCCACGTTTTTTTCTGTATTTGATATTAAATGTCCTAAAATCATTTTTACTGTGTATTTCCATAAAGAAGGCTATAAACTATGTCAGATTGTTCCAGTAGCATGTCCTGGAAGAAGGACATAGTGCACACAGGGAGAGTCCGTTAGGTGCCACTGAAGTCTTAGCCGTTCTCTGATGAAAATCAATAGGTAGGGTTTTTTGTTCACTTTGAATGACTATTCTAAAATATTTTTCAGCCTTAGCAAAGAAAAATTTCCTCCAAGAATGTTTAACAGGTTGGGCTCTTCCCCCACACTCTTGAATTACTGATGAGCTAAAAGTGTGCAGTTTAAGAGAATTGTGCCCATCTTCTTAACTTATTTTTCCTTTCTGCAACTCAGACAGCTGAAGAGGTGTTCTTTAAATGTAACTTTGCCCAGCATAGAACGTTTGGTCCTAGAAAAGGTGGCTTGTTTGTTTAGGAAAGAATTGTATTGAGCCTAGCACACTGGGTTCCTAGCTTGTTGGTGCCGCTGCAATACAAATAAGGGTTTACAATAGAAGTCTGAACATAACCTTAGCAACAATGCAGGCACATTCCATTATTGTACTTTAATAAAGATATTGTCTGTTCTTTCAGCAAGTGCCAGCTATTAAATGTATAGTTCTAACTGAAAGATCTGTTCTTCAGTATTTTGTTAGGCAAGTTTCTGCGCTATGCTTAATTTTGAGTGAGTACTTGAAACTCTGTGGTCCTCCAGAAAACTCCCTGGAAGATCGATCCCCAGATAAAACAGTGCCTTTTTCTACTTCTTTTTTGGTATTAATATCAAATGGGAGCAGACAGCAGTATTACTGTGGATATA